TGGGCTAAATGGTTACACCGGCGCCGATAGCATGCTAAGCGTGCTGCAAAAGCCACGAATACATTAAAGACATTCAAGAATTTGTGGACCTTCAACGATTTATCGTCAAAATTCGTCAGTACTAACCTAAGGTCATCCCACACCTTGCAACGCATGGGCAATTAGTGGTGGTTAACTTTCTTCTATTACTCTTTGTGTAGATCGATTTTACAATCGTCTTATTTTATGGGCAATTAGTAACTCATAGTTTCTCTCTAACCTCCCACTTTAGGCAGTAATTGTCTATAACTAATAACTTTAATTAAGTGACATCACTGTAATTTAGTTTCTCGCATAGATATGCACAACAAGCTAAAACATATGCATACAGTATACTTTTATGAAATAAGCCGATAGATCTTACTATTAATTTGTTATGCTTTGGATTTCAGCAACAAACATCTCAGACAGCTCTTTAAACCCTTGAATATGCGTCCCGAAGGAGATTGCGTTTTATATTTATGTACCAAATGTGAACTTTCGTCACATGAATATTGATTCTGTCCGCAGGAAAGATAATGTAAATGTGGCCCTTGCTACCACACCACAACCCTTGTCTTGAGAAACAATTTCATCAATTTTGCGGACAAACAGCGATGCTGATGAAGTCAGGATCAATTGATCCATTGTTGTCTACCTTGAATTAAATGCAGCTCCGTACTTTAGTATTTTCCGCTGTATTCATTCCAGGCTTATGAGTACGTCTTTGATAGAAGTATTAGCCTCTCAATGTCGAAAATTGAGATAGACGGCGCAAATAGTACAATCTTGTAGAGAATAATGTTATGATTCACTCGGAATCTTATCTTATCTTTTGGGGCAGATTAGCAAAACCTACAGTAATAATGAGGGGATTGTTCTTATCTATTGTTTAGCGCGGGATTTTATTGTTTATAATGTTTTTTTTCCTAAATTTTAGGATGTTTCATAAATTCATTAACATTGCAAACCTCACATTTAGAAAAACTAATCGAAAACTTACAGAGGCATGAGTGGTTCCATAGAGACATCGGAACTTTCGGTCATTCGTACCATCAGGCATATCGCTAGCAACATAACAGCATTAAATGCCCTGAGAAAACGAAATGAATGTTGTTATTGTTCGAAAACACGGGTAGTCAATCAAACGGAAGCGAACGAACGAAATAAAAGACAAGCATAACACTTATTCTATACACTGGCCCTGTCTGGTTGTGAAGTAGTACGCACTCGAAAACAATGTAGTAATTGGAGTTAATTTGACGAGCGAAGTAGGAAAACGGGATGTAAAGAAACATTAGGAATCAGAATGAATGTTTCTTCTTTTTTGTACAATTATATGTATAGAGCGCCAATTCCTGACAATGAGAAAGAATGAAAGCTGAAAGAATTTTGGTTGAGAGGAACCGTGAAGTGTATAGAATGACATTATAATTGCAGAAAGAGAGTCACGAGGTTGAAGTCTTAGAGAGTAGTTAACCTTTTTTCCAGTAGGGTAGTTAGAAGTTTACTGAGTCTCGCAAACGCATGGGCGCAAACATCTCAACACCTTTCATCTTCTGCCCATTATGATAAAGAAGATAATGAAGGGTTGTCATGCAGTAAACAACGACTACAACTATATGTCAGCAAGTTTATAACTGAAAAAAGCAGCAATTTTAAGAACATAAGAGTTAGCCTACGATCAAATAATGTCTTTGTATAGGAAACACCAATCAAGCATACAATTACATTTTAATTTTTTTGGGAAATTACATTGCTTGGTACAATGTTGGTACAATTACTTGCACGCCTTTGATTTCTTTTTGCAGTCTTTTTTCA